AGTCCATATGCGAATTCCAGGTCAGAGGTCAGGCAGGGCTCCACAGAGAAATCCTGTCTCAAGAAAAAAAAAAAAAAGAAAAGAGAAAGGAAAGAAGGAAAAGAAAGAGAGAGAGAGAGAGAGAGAGAGAGAGAGAGAGAGAAAGAAAGAAAGAAAGAAAGAAAGAAAGAAAGAAAGAAAGAAAGAAAGAAAGAAAGAAAGAAAGAAAGAAAGATTCGATGTTGACAGTTGACATCTGGTGCATGGGGCGGTGGGGGTGGGGAGACACTACTCACAAAATAAAAATATTGCAAAGATTGACAAGGTGTTAGTTGAGTGTAGGGTGGTATGAAGCAGAGGAAGACAGTGAAGGCAATAAAACAGAATGAAACAAGAAACGTGCTCTATTTTGTACTAATTAGAACTCAGAGGTGTGAGTGCAGGCTAATGAGTCAAGGATACATTGCACAGTAAATTATGCTAGAAGGATGATTAACTAGCACTTCAAAGAAGATAGAAGGTGAAATATACCATCATGCTGTTTCTTAAAGTACCATTATACAGTATTACGAAGCAAATACTGGAGCTATAGTAGGTAAGAATGTTCATAGGCAAACCCAGTAAATGATTTTCAACTCATGGTAGCAAGAAAAGACATAAAGAAAATACTGATTGATCTGTATGCTTAGAAACATCAAACTTCTGTTTAAACTCAGCACAATCATACTTTAAAGAGAAATTGTAGAAAATGTTAAAATATGTTGTATATACCTTTGCATATGAACTCAAACAGATGGTTTTTATGCAAAGGAAAAATTCTTACATAGGTAATGAATAGGATTATTTATGTATTAATGTCTTATACAAAGACTTAAGCAAAGTTAAAAGGATTTTATATTCATAAAAGACTATGTATTTAACACTCCTTTAGTAGTGAATATTTGAAGTTTAGGCTATTTGTGCTTTTATAAACAAGTCTATAATTGACATCATTATTATGCTTCTGTGTACATATTAACATAGATCAAGATAAAAAATATTAAAAGTAAAGAACATAACTAAATCAAAGTAATGCATGTTAGTTTTTGATATAACTCCAAGTAAGTGAACATGCGTGTCTATATTCCTACTTAGACTGCACAAGGCTGCTTGTTATGTATACTTAAACAATCATAACATATTAAAAATCTATATAATTTAAGAGAATCAAGAAAGTAAACATAGGATCATTGCAGGTTTAATTAGATTGTCTCAATTTTTAATAAGTATATATTTACATTAAAATACGTTCCACTAGTCTAACTTCACAATATGTGTTTAATCCCAGCATTAGGGAGACAGAGGCAGGCCAATCTCTGTGAGTTCAAGGCCAGCATGATGCAGGCTATCCAAGACTACATAATGAGACTTTTTCTGAGAAAAAAAAAATTTCCATAAATACAATTCAGAGCCACAAAGCCCTCCCAAGTATGAAGAGAAATCATGTATGAAAAAATTGATGAATTTGAGTAAATAAAAACTAAAACATGCAGCTTTGTCTTTTATCTCCTTTTCAAAGTTGCTTCCTTTTCTGTTTGTCTTAGAGATGCAATAGGCTCATTCTTCACATCCTCTGGTTTCCAGCAACAAATTTTTAATTTTGTTGAAAAAGTCAGATTTTTCTTTCTTTCTACTCCATTGTTCTTTGTTGCTGCTATGTTGGGGTACCAGTGGATATAGTTCTTTTGAACCCAATTTTCAAGTAAATCCTTTGAAAATTGCCCCAGGATCCTTCTGTGAAAATATCGAGCATGAAGAAACCTGCTAAAGGGCTGATTTTCCTGTGTGTGTCCATTTTAGGGCTTTTCCCTCCTTTTTAGTTGTTGTCCAAAAAAAAAAATTCTTCTAAGAATTAACTGACATTTCCTGTCTACATTTCTGAAAGTTGCTGAAATTTTCTAGCATGTAGACAGAAATCTTTACTGTTTGCCCTTAACATATTACTTCTTTAATTTTAAAAGGAGTTATTTCTGAATCTGAGGTTAACTGTCTTGAGCCACTCCTACGAGACTGTTAATTTAATTAAACTTTGTGTTAAACTTAAATCAATTTCTACATTCTTTGCATAATTGTTAGATATTTCTAGTAATTACCAACTTTATACTGCACAATCTCTCCAGATCTAAACAGAAAAAGAAAATAATCTTCATGGCCTATAGCATTCTATTCTTTCTGTATTTTAATTTACCAGTGTGTGCTTATACCATCTATTTGTGACAATCACTTGGTTTTCTTACAACTATTTAAATAATGTTTTTTAAGGTTTTTTTTACTTAATATAAAACAAATATGTCTGA